GCTAGACATTCCGGAAGTAAGACTCGACTGCAGCGCTGCTAGTTCGTCGTGACCGCCACTAAGCCCACATCGCAGGTAGAGCTGTGAAACCGAGCTTGTTCCAGTAACGTTGCCTGCGACGGGGGCTCAGTGGCGGTCACGAGAACTAGCAGCGCTGCAGTCGAGTCTTACTTCTGGATTGTCTAGCCCGCCAAGTTTGAATAGCAATACTTGAGCTCGGCCGATTTGGTGATTCATGCTAACACTTCACAGCCCAACATTCGTGAGAGAGAGAGAGTCACGAATGACAAGTGATGAGCGGATACTCGCGGCGTGAAGCCACCTCCTCGCCTCCCTCATAGGATGGAGGGAAGTACGGCGCACGTCTGTTGCGCGTCTCAGCCACTGGGGAGCAGGATCGCGGGCGCGTAGATGCGCTCCGATAAGAAACCGAAATCTAGAAACGCGTCCAAATGGAGCGTTTTTACAGAATGCTGTAAAATGCTTCCCTGGCGTTATATCCTTCCAAAAATGGTTGATTTAGTAGTTTTCGATGATGCTCTTTAAGTTTCTAATTGAAACCATATGTCTATTTCCACTAATTAAAAACTTAATTAACGAATTTTAATTAATTAGCCGACTTATCGCAAAGATTAGCCACTCCCATAATGTCCGCTTGGCCGTATAACCCACCTGCACAAACCGCATTAGTGTAGCTTTCACGGTTTTTTTTAAATAAGGGTATAAGAATAAAAAAAATCACCCTGTGTATATATATATATATATATATATATATATATATATATATATATATATATATATATATATATATATATATAAGTCAGAGATCCGTACTTGCGGAGTTGCTATGCTAGGAGTTTATTGCATGTATTTCGACAGTTTCGCCGAGAGGCTCGGCTTCGTCAGGAGATGGCATACATGTGTATGTGTATGTGTATGTATGCCATCTCCTGACGAAGCCGAGCCTCTCGGCGAAACTGTCGAAATACATGCAATAAACTCCTAGCATAGCAACTCCGCAAGTACGGATCTCTGACTTATTACATTTTCCCGGGTCCATTGTTCTCAAGCTACTCTGCCTCACCTATATATATATATATATATATATATATATATATATATATATATATATATATATATATATATATATATATATATATATATATATATATATATATCAGTGTGTCGAACCGAAAAAAATACGGGTTCGGTTACGGTTCAGGTTCAGGTAAATTTATTTTGTTCCGGTTCAGTTCCGGTTCGATTAATTCGATCCGCGAACCGGTTCGCGAACCGGTTCGGGGCGCTGAACCGGTTCGCGAACCGGTTCGGAAATTATAAATGACAAACTGCAACATCAAAATAAATTACAAATAAAACATCTGAAATCAGCACATACGAAACGGGATACATCGTAGTGTAAGGCTCAATGATTTCTACCAGGAATGGTTTCTTTATGTGCACTCAAAGGTTACCTCACCAACGTTTACGCATTCGGACTTCATCTAATTGGGTCCGACGCAGATAGCTGTAAAATCCGCGACCTCCTTACAAACCCACTTACAAGTAGAGCTCGCTAACTATCCCGCCACCTCGGCGTGTAAGAAATTGAAGGAACAGTGGGGAGAAAATACAGCTTTCTTTATTTGAACTAGCCTTCGGTAACTCAAATTAGACCCTTAAAGAAGTTTTCATTAAACAAGATACGGAATATGAAAAACACTTCACCGAACGCAACGCCAGAAGGACGTAATAGGATAAATATTAAAATAGAAGAGTTCGCTGTCTCACAAATATGTTAGCTTCTAAGTGCCTATACGAAACCGGATGCATTATTATCAAACTCCACTGCCTTTTCTTTTCTCATTCCGATGGAAGCAAGCTTCAAGAACTCGCGCGTTCTAGAAACGTGTTACGAAATGAGCACACAGCAGCATTTAGGATTTACGATTGTAGAAAAATAAAATCCCGTGACGCGATTTTTTTTTTTTTTTTTTTTGTACAGCCTTTCAATTCTTTTTTTTCCGTGCAAGCCGCGACCAGCGCAATACTGGTTCCTATGTCAAGATTCATGGATGCAGCGTTTGTCAAGATTCTTGGATGCAGCGTTTATATTCCTAAGACTAAGTGGAGAAGAAAAATATGTAAGCGAGGTGTGTGTCAGTTGACTGCACTTAAAAAACAAATGGCATTGATAGCCCATTCATTGTCAACAGCGCGTGGCCGAACCGTTTTGACATGAGCCGGTAACCGTTATTTTTTTTCCGGTTCAGTTCCGGTTCGGGTTCATCGCGATAACAATATAACGGTTCGGGTTCGGGTTCAGTTCCGGAAAAAATACCGGTTCGGTTCCGGTTCGACACCCTGATATATATATATATATATATATCCTTTTCAGATGCTGTCCGCAGCCGTCCCACGCAGCAGAAGTGACCCCACACAGAAAAAAGGTACTGTGACGCCCGACCATTCTAAATCCCGAGCATTGCTTACTGTACGTAAAGCCGTTAACAAGCGCGTCAAGCACACCATGCATGCAGAGACACTTGCTCTTTACTTAAAAAACAAAACCTCTCCCAAAGGTCTCCGTCTATGCCTGAAACCATCATGATATTCCTTTAACCACATTGAGCATAAACAGTGGAATGAAGTCACGCTTGAGGCCTCACTAAAACTAGTCGGAATCACAGAACAACACCACAGAAGGAAGGCGGCCGAGCTATCACATACAGAAATCAAGATCAGAAACGACGGATCACTAAGCTGCGAGGAAAACGCCGAGATAGAGCTATATGAGCAGAAAAGACGCAACGAGCTGTGGATAACGAAAAAGAGAAAACTCGAGCGTGACAAACTATCTGACGCATGTCCCCAACCGACGTTCATGATGAGTACTGATTCGATGGCAGCCAAAGCAACTATCCATGCCCACTCTCCACCGCCAGGGCCTACACGGGTCGCAGACGCAGAACCGTCGCTGGCTTCAGATAACTCCGCCGCTCTTGACACGATTGGCTGCCGGCCGCAAGTTGCAGCGCGTTCCGGGAGACACTGCGAAAAAACAGTGGACAAAGGCAACATAGTAAATTTATCGGACGCAGTGTTAACGCGGGAAGAGACCAACATCCTTTCTAAAGGATTAACCTTCTGCCCCACAACTGGCCACTACAACGAGTTTCAATTGTACCAAGATTTGGACAAGTTTGCCCGAAACATGAGGCTCCGCGAGTACTTTCACGACCGCCAACCGAATCCTAACCAAACGATTCTGACGAACCCAGAAAAGCAATGAACGCCTAATCCGCGAAGAGATAAGTGCCTCGACATGTACATTGATATCACGCAACGCGTAATCATTTCCGCTGTGAAGAGGCAAAGACCGACAAAATATAACCTTTCTCGGCCAGAGAATGAGTGCCTGAAAAGACTCAGTGCCAGGGCAGATTTAATTATTAAACCTGCAGATAAGGGCGGCTCCATAGTTGTTATGAACAGACAAGATTATCTTGATGAGGGCTTTCGGCAATTGAATGACGCATCATTTTACCGCGAACTACCGACAGACCCCACACAAAGGCTTGAAACGGCCATCATAAAGGAATTAGTAGTTCTAAAGAAAACTGGCAAAATAACCAAGGAGGTTTTTAACGCCATAAAACCATCCCACTCCAAACCCGGTCGCTTTTATCTCCTTCCTAAAATACACAAGATCAACAACCCCGGGCGATCCGTAGTGTCAGGAATAGGCACAGTCACCGAACGTATCTCGAGTCTTGTCGATACACTGATCAAGGACATTCCTCCAACCTTCCCTTCGTTTGTTAAGGACACCAGCCACTTCCTGCAGAAAATTTCCCCACTAGACATTCCGGATAACGCTTTTCTCGTAACCCTTGATGTGGCTTCCCTATCTACAAATATACCCCACAGAGACGGAATTGCGGCAGTGATCGAAGCGTATGAACACGCTCAGCACACACTTGTCATCGAGGGGGACGTCCTTTCAATTCTGATGAAACTTGTTTTGGAGAACAATCACTTTGAATTTGAGAATAGGCACTTCCTGCAGACCAATGGAACCGCTATGTGAACTAAGATGGCGCCAAATTACGCCAACATATTTATGTCACAACTGGAAACCACCTTTCTCGCTGAACGCCCCACTCAACCACTGTTTTACACAAGATACATCGACGACATATTCATGATCTGGGCCGGTGCTGAAGACGAACTCATGAAATTTATCGCCGCCTTCAATTTAGCTCACTCATCGATAAAATTTACTCACTGCGTATCACAAAAGTGCATAAACTTCCTGGATGTAACTGTGGAAATTGCCAATAACAAATTAAGTACGAAACTTTCAGTGGCGTCGGAACAGGGGGGGCAGGGGGGGGCGACCGCCCCCCCAGTAATTTTTTAGTAATGGCGGCTCGCGAGCTCGATATTTCGCAAATTTCTCAGATTGCGATTTTTAAGATATTTCGCGGGAATTAATTTCTCGCATTACGGTGGTATGATGATATTCATCATCATGGGATTAGTTATTCGAGGGCTCAATTATTTGTGGTTATTTTAAAACCAGAAATAAGCAGGAGCTTCTCCATTTCTGAAGCCGAATAAAGCAGTCAATACACGCCTACGCTGCTCGAAGCGCATATGATTTCGCAGTTCGAGGCTGCAGTAATCCCCGGGGCGTCGTGCCGTGCGGGTACCGCCGAGGACTTGGACGAAGGTAGTCGATCGAGTATACGACCCGCAGACCTACATGACTACCCCGCATCCTTGATCACCTCGGCTCCGAAGGAGTCAAACACCATACAAACAACGCATAAATACAAGACAGGCTGCAACGCCCTCTTTTGTCATGTCAGTCAATCATCATGCCGATCTTTTGACTATCTGCCAGATCGGTGGTGCTATCTCTGGGCACAAATATAAAAGTCGAAAAACAACAGGCATTCGTTGATTGTTTCTTGAAATCTCTAAGGTTGGCAAGCATGCCCCCTCCTCTTAAAAGAACGTCCTTGGACAAGTGGTTGCAGGACAATGCCGCGAAGAAAAGAAAACACATTGGGAATTCTTCGACAACAGTGCCATGCGACATTGAGTGCGCTGTGGGTGACAAGGACACAAGTACTGCACATTCACCGGGATCACGGACAGAAGTGGAGGAATCCCAAGCCCCACAATCGTCTCGAATAGGTTCTGTTGCGAGCATCATAACGAAGTTTCATCCAGCCAGCGACTATCGGTTTCCTAAAAACGCTCAAGGCAGAGCCTGTTTCCCTGAATTGTTCGAGAAGTTCAGATGGCTTCACTACAACTGCGATAGTGACAGTGTGCTGTGCTATGAATGTGTGGCATGGTGCACTATGAAATGCGAAAACAGTGTTCGTGGTGCCGAGGTGACTTTCATTTCATCCGGCTTCAGAAACTGGAAGAAGGCCACTGAGAAGTTTAGAACTCATGAAAAAAGTGAATGCCACAGCCGGTCCGTGGATAGCTTGTTGCAGAGACTGCAGAAAGCACCAGTGGTCAAGCTTCTCAGTGAGCAGAGCCTGAAGGAGCAGAATGAGGCGCGAACGGCACTCCGTGTTGTCTTCAGATCCATCAGATACCTTGCACGCTCGGGTCAGGCCCTGCGCGGACATTCGTATGAAGATGGAAACCTGCGGCTTCTACTCGACGAAAGATCTCAAGACGTCCCGGCCTTGGAGATGTGGATGAAAAGGCGGGACAAGTGGCTGAGCGCTGACGTTCAGAACGAAGTCATTGAAATCATGTCTCACGAGCTGCTGCGGGGCATCATACAGGAGGTAAAGCATTCAACCTTCTTCAGCATCATTGCCGACGGCACGACGGACGTTTCATCCTCTGAGCAGTTCTCGCTGTGCATCAGGTGCGTGGATCCAGACACTTTGCATGTAAAGGAGATTTTTGTTGGCTTTGTTTTGGCCGAGTGATACCACAGCCGCAACTCTTTTTGCTGTGATCAAAGACATGATCATGCGGTTGGGTCTAGACTTTCAGAACCTTCGTGGACAGTGCTTTGATGGTGCTGCAAATATGTCAGGAAGGTGAAACGGGGTACAGAAAAAAGTGACCGAAGTGCAGCAAAAAGCTGTGTACGTTCATTGCAGCAACCACGCCTTAGGTCTTGTTCTGCAGGAGGTTGGACGAGGATGCGAGCTGATTCGCGACGCGCTTGTCATCGTTAAGGACGTTTCTGGAATCATAATGGAGTCAGCGAAGCGAACGAAAGCATATAAGAATGTTGTGATATCTCCTGGCCACGAGAGCGAAGAAGGTACCATCGCCAGTGGAAAAGTATCCAAGCTGCTTCCCCTGTGCCCCACCCGGTGGGTTGTTCGAGTAAAAGCGATGATGCGCTTCGTCGAGAACTACGAAAGGGTGCAACTAACCCTGAAAGACATTTTGAATGACAAGGGGTATCCGCGAGACGACAAGAAGGCAGCAATACACGGCTCCTTGAAGAAAATGCAAAAGTTTGAGACCGTGTTTGGTCTCAACTGCGCCATCACAATATTTGGACCATGTGAAGAACTTGCAACATCGCTGCAGAAACCAGATACTTCTGTGGGAGGAGCGCTGAGGGCGACGGAGGAAGCACACTTGACAAGGTAAAGAAAGGAGAGTGGTTTCCAAGAAGTGTACGAACGTACAGAGGGGGCAGCAAAGAAGCATAAGCTAAAGGCCCCTTCAAACAAGACCACGCGATGCGGTCCTCCAAGAGGTTCGAACACAGCAGCGAGCCCTGTCAACCAGCGTTTCTAGACCCAGAGGCAGGCCTTCGGAAGCAGTTCTACGAAGCGTTGGATTGTGTTCGCGCCGAGTTTGCAAGACGATTCAAGCAACCAGGCATGCAAAGTCTTGCACAAATAGAGCAAATAATTGTGTGCGCTATTCAAGAGAAGCCGCAAACTGCAGAAGAACTTGAAAGGAAGTTAGGATCCCACGCTACTGATTTTCACCTGGAAAGCCTTTCAAGGCAGCTGAACATGGTTCACTCGCTCTCAAGCGGTCAGATCGGCTCCGTACCCGAGTTGTGCCGTGCTCTGGGCAGACAAGTCCCAGAGGTCAAGAGGATGATGATTGAGGGAGTGCCAGCGTCAGCGGCATCAGCTGAACGAAGTTTCAGCGCACTTCGGCGTATCAAGAATTACCTTAGAGCTACCATGTCACAAAAGCGACTGACTTAGGTGATGCTGCTGCACGTAAATAGTGAACGAGCAGCAAAACTTGATCTGAACTGTATCATCAGAGAGTTCGTGTCGAGGACGGCTGAACGACGAACCGTTTTCGGGCACCAGTGAGCTCTTTCTTATTTCACGCTGTTTGAAGACGTCAACATGGGAGAAAAACAAGATCACCACATTCCAAAAGAGGAAGGACATATATTCGTTCTAAATAAACGTTTGTGAGCGTTTCGATTTTATATATCCATATTGTTCTAGATGCTTCACCGCACCCCCCCCCCCCCCACCCCAATTCCGTTGCCCCCCCACCTCAGAAATACTTCCGACGCCACTGGAAACTTTACAGAAAACCTACCGATAGACAACAATACCTCCATTTTAACAGCTGCCATCCTCGACACTGTAAGGCTAGTCTGCAGTACTCTCAGGCGCACAGATTTAAGCGCATATGCTCAGACAACAACGACTTTGAACAAAACGCTCAGGAACTGAAACGCGTACTAACCCAGCAGAGGTATCCAGCAAATGTAATCGATGACGCTATAAACAAGGCAAGAAACCTCGACCGCTCAGACATCATTGGCAACCGAATAGAGCGTCCTCAATAAAGCAGACAGTCTAACCTTATTTTAACGTATACAGGCAATCTTCCAAACATCAACAACATATTGAGCAAAAATTACAATCTTCTGTCACAGAGCGACCGCCTCAAAGAAATCTTTCCCGCCGCTCCTCGGGTCGTCTATCGACGCGGCAGGAATCTCCGGGACGTCTTAGTAAAATCAAAAACCACCACTCCCGCAAACCTAGGTTGCCGACCATGCCGAAAGCCCAGGTGTAAAGTATGCAAGCACATGTTAGAAACAAAGAACGCCACGAGCACAAATTCAGAGTTCACGTGGAACATAAGGGGTAGCTACGATTGCGGCACGTCAAACGTGATTTATCTCCTGCACTGCAATGTCTGTAATAAACAGTACGTCGGACAGACTAATTTGGCTTTCAGACTACGCTTTAACAACCACAAATGTCACGCACAAACACTCCCCGACCTTCCGCTCTCAAAGCACCTGTCTCTTTCTAATCACTCAATCAAGCACATTTCTGTTGTAATTTTGGAATCAGGCTTCAGCACAAAAATTGAAAGAGAGCAAAAAGAATCATATTTTATTTATAAGTTTAATACGTTCAACCAGGGCAATAATGAAAGTCCGGGAAGGCTGTTTAGTTTGCAGCTGGCTCGTTGGAGAGCTGATCCTCTCCGCCCTTGAGCTTCTCTAGATGCACACGCTGAAGACACTAGGAGATCTTTAAACTTAACAATCGATAGTTAAACCACATCCTAATGCGTTTAAGTCCGAAGGGAACCTCCAAAAAGGATAAATGCGGCTCAAGCGGTTAATCTCAGGCAGGCATAGACTGTCACATCCCTACCACTCCTTATCCAAGGAAAAATCCCCCAAAGTGCTTAACTTCGACCTCTAGCGCAAAGGAATGTCACGGGATTTGGGGACGTCGGTGGTCACATGTATCCTATTTCTGGTTTGAAGACGAGCCACCCCTTCCCAAACCAAGACTCTCAAACACTTTTTATTTTTATTTTTTTATTTTTTTGTGTGAGAAAAAATAATCTTTCCACCAACTTTTTTTTTTTTTTTTTTTTTTTGCGCGCGAGCGTAAATAATATTTTTTTGCAAACCGATTTTTTTTTTTTTATGATTTGCAGGTTTTGGTGGCCTCTCCTTTTTGTGTAAACTATCTGTTTTGTCAACGCTGTTTCTATTTCCTACTGCACTTTACTCCCTCTAATTTCTTCTTGGGGGTATATAAACATTCGCGGGCTGTACACTCGCTACCTGATGAAGAGCGGTCCCCGCTCGAAACGTCGCAATAAACTTCGAATTAGTAACTCCGACAGTACGCATCTTTGACTTTATATATATATATATATATATATATATATATATATATATATATATATATATATATACTGTAAACGACTTAATTTTCGCGAGGGCTTAATTTTCGCGAATCGCCTACAATTCGCGAATAATAGGTCCCGCGAACAATTCCGTCAAAATGCAAACACATTGGATTCTATATTGAGATCCCCCCGCGTCGCGAAAATTAGAACCCGCGAATTATTCCAAAATTTCAGCTTTGACCTCAATCGCGAAATATTGAGCCCGCGTAAAATAAGTCGTTTACAGTGTATATATATATATATATATATATATATAT